AGCAGAGTCCAGGGGGTCAGGGTCCAGCACTGGCTACTGGGGCTGGTTCCCACAGGCACCCTGGGATGTTCCTTGTCCCTCTATCCTAACCCTCGGCACACTTCCCACAGTGAATGAGCTGACAGTGGGTGCTCCCTGGCCCACCCTGGCCTGGACCGTCTGCAGCTATGTGGGGCTGAAGTTCCTGCAAGGTGGAGGTGCTGGTAAGGACCATTGGGAAGGATGGGGCACTGACGAGAGATGATATTGGGCACATCATACCATTCTGGGGTGGTCAGGGAAGCCCATGTGCCCCATCGCTGCTGCTCTCTTGCAATCAGCAATCTGGGCTGGTCGCAGGTTAAGGAGAGTGAGTGGGCTTCATCCCAAATCCCCCTTTCCCAGCTGAACTTTTGGAAGTCTTCTGCATGCCCCAGTGGGGTTGATCTCGGTTGACCTGTCCCTGTTGCCCTGCAGGCTCCACTGGCTTTGTGAGCAACCTGCGCACCTTCCTGTGGGTGTGGGTGCAGCAGTTCACCAACAGGCAGGTGCAGGTGCAGCTCTTTGCCCACCTGCACGGGCTGTCCCTGCGTTGGCACCTGGGCCGTCGCACTGGTGAGGTCCTGCGTAGCGTGGACCGGGGCACCAGCAGCATCAACAGCCTGCTCAGGTCAGAGTGTGCCCGTGGTGGGTGGGGGGGTTGGCTGGGCAGCCCCACAGGGCTGGGCTGATGCCTCATTTCCCCTCCCACCCCCCAGCTACATCGTCTTCAGCATTTTCCCCACCATTGCGGATATTGTCATCAGCATAGTTTACTTCACCTCGGTCTTCAGCGCTTGGTTTGGCCTCATCATCTTCGTGTGTATGAGCCTGTACCTGAGTGAGTGGGGGGGCTCAGGGTGCAGGGCTGCCAGGCTGTGGGAGGGCAGGAGCCTTGCAATGCAGCTTCCTGCTGTCCACAGCTCTGACCATCTTCATCACTGAGTGGAGAACAAAGTACCGTCGGGACATGAACACACGGGACAATGAGGCCAAGTCCCGGGCCGTGGACTCGCTCCTCAATTTCGAGACGGTACTGTAGGAGTTGGGTGGGGGGGTCACTGAGGACTGCTTGGGTGCTGATACCAGCTCTGCTCCTGCAGGTGAAGTACTACAATGCAGAGAGCTATGAGGTGAACCGCTTTAACGATGCCATTGTCAAGTACCAGGTACGTGGTGCTCAGTACCTTTAGGGGCACCAAGGGGGAAGAAGCCAAACCTCACAGGCACCTGTGGGGATGATGGAGATCACCATGGGTCTGGTTTTGAGGCAGCAGCATCCCACAGGACTTTGTCTCTTCCAGGTCTCAGAGTGGAAGGTCAGTGCCTCACTGGGCCTCCTCAACCAGACCCAGAACCTGGTCATTGGCCTAGGGCTGCTGGCAGGGTCCCTGCTCTGTGCCTACTTTGTCACTGAAAACAAGCTGCAGGTAAGGCTGGTGCCAGCCTGTGCAGACCCCTGCTGAGGTGGGGCCCTGGGGCTGGTGGCTACAGACCCCTGTACCCTGTCCCTTCCAGGTGGGGGATTTTGTCCTCTTTGGCACCTACATAATCCAGCTCTACACACCACTCAACTGGTTTGGGACTTACTATAGGTAATGCTGGGAGGTCTGGAACTGCCTGGTGTCCCCTGTCGAAGAAATTCTCTACAGTCCCCCTCTCCATGGGTGACTGGGTCAGTATGTGCTCCTCCAAACCCTTTTCTCTGGTCTTTGCCTTCTTCAGGATGATCCAGAATTCCTTTGTGGACATGGAAAATATGTTTGAGCTCTTCCACGAGGAGCAGGAGGTGGGTGCCACCTTTCCTGGACCTTGCTCCCTTGCCGGGCCTGTGGGCCTGCCCTGGGGATTGGCTGGCTCTGAGCCTGAGCCTCTACTTCGACAGGTGAAGGATGTGGTGAACGCCAGCGACCTGCGCTTGGAGGCTGGGCAGATTGAGTTTGAGAACGTGCACTTCAGCTATGTGGATGGGTATGGGGTACTGGGCACAGGGTGGGACCTGCTCTAGGGATGTAGAGCCGTGGAGTGGCCCTGAGCCCCTCTCCATGTCCCTCTTCCAGGAAGGAAATCCTGCAGGATGTCTCTTTCTCTGTGATGCCTGGGCAGACCCTGGCTCTGGTGAGAGCAGGACTGTGAGTTCAGTGTGGGAGGGAAGGATGGGGATAGAGAGGCTGGAAAATACGAAGGTGGGAAGGACAGCCCCCAGAAGGACCAGCCCTTTCCTCTCCAGCCCCTGGCCTCCAGCAGCTGGGAATTGGCCATCTCCAAGTCTCTTTTCCTTTGTATGTAGGTGGGACCATCAGGCTCTGGAAAGAGCACCATCATCCGTCTGCTCTTCCGCTTCTACGATGTACGGGGTGGCTGCATCCGCATTGATGGGCAGGACATCTCCCAGGTGAGTGGGGAGGGCCTCCGAGGACTGGGGAGGACACACCAGCTCATCTGGGCCTCACAGCACTGCTCAGTGCAGGCACCAGCACCTCCCCAGGGCAGGGGTGAGCATGCAGCCCCCAGAGCCCCTTTGCAGGCTGATTTCTGTTGTGCCAGAAGTGACAGAATGGCGTGACTCTGGGATCCCAGGCTGAAATGCTGGGTACTGACCATGGCTCCCTGGGAAGGAGTAGGACACTGTTAGGGCACCCCTGCAGAGTGGAGATGCAGCTGAGCCTGTGGAGCAGGGTGACTCTACAGCACACAGCTTGCAAGGAATGGGGCTCATGGCTGAGGATAGGATTGGGTTTTGGAGGGATCTTTGCATTTGGTGTGGGTCTGCCTGAGCCCTCTCCCCTGCCTCCCAGGTGAAGCAGGCTTCGCTGCGTGCTCACATTGGGGTGGTGCCCCAGGACACGGTGCTCTTCAACGACACCATCGCCAACAATATCCGCTATGGACGGATCCTGGCCACTGACCAGGAGGTACAGGAGGCAGCCCGGGCTGCTGACATCCACGACCGTATCCTTTCTTTTCCTGATGGTGAGACCCCTGCAGTTCCCGCCATCCCATGGTCCCCTAAGACCTTCTAGCTGCCCTCACAGGTATCCTTGGGTGACATCTCCCATGGGGACATCTGCATGACTATGTGTCTTGCTTTGCCTTTCCCTGCCTTCTTTCCAGGGCTAGATCAGCCCCTGGACAGGGATAAGGTGAGGCTCCACCACGTGGCTGTGTGGTCGCAGCAGGTCCTCCCAGGGCAGCAGGTCCCCATGTCCATTTCAGAGGGCACCAGCACATCATGTTTCTGCTCTTGTGACTACAGGATACAACACCCAGGTGGGAGAGCGGGGGCTGAAGCTGAGCGGGGGTGAGAAGCAGCGCGTTGCCATCGCACGCACCATCCTGAAGGGTCCCCACATCATCCTGCTGGATGAGGTAACAGCAGTGGTCCCAGCCCAGCCCTACCCAGCTCTGCAGCAGCCCCATGCCTAGCAGCTGCCCACACGACCTCTATCCCTTCCTCATGTTGCATCTCACCTTGCAGGCCACATCTGCACTTGACACAGAGACTGAGAGGCACATCCAGGCTTCTCTGGCCAAGGTTTGTGCCCACCGCACCACCATCGTTGTTGCACACAGGTAGGGACAAGGGGAAAGGGCTGATCCAGGAGGTGCTGGCCAGACCCCGCAAGAGGGGCACACAAACCTGAGAGCCCCAGGGGTTGCATCTCCTGGCACTGTGCAAACCCTCAGGAACCCTCTGCCACCCAAGTCAGGGTAACACCTGCTTTTCCCTGCAGGCTCTCCACTGTGGTAGGTGCAGACCAGATCCTGGTGCTTAAGGATGGACACATTGTGGAGCGAGGGAGGTGAGCACAAGCGGAGGGCTGGGGGAGGGGATCCCCTCCCTGGCTCTGGGGCCAGCTCGGGACCCTGCATTCCTTCACTCTCCTCCCAGGCATGAGGAGCTGCTGCAGAAGGGAGGTGTGTATGCTGGCATGTGGCTGCAGCAGCAGACTGGGGACGAGGGAGAGAGCAAGGAGCACCGCACTGAGAAGCCCCAGAGCAGCAAGAAAGCGTCATGAACATGACCAGGAGTTCTGCTGTGACGCTGACTTGGGTCCAGGCCCCCACATTGCCTGGGAGTCTTTTGCTGGCTGCAGGCAAGGGCCCTGCCTGCCCTAGAGCTGCAGGGGCTTGGTTGGACACTCCACTATATTTGTACATGTTTGTTTTGCTGTTGTGTAATTTCTTAAACCAGGTCCTTCCCAGGTCCATGCCTGTGTGCTCTGCGTCAACCGGCAGGGTTGACACGCCTCTTGGTGGGGGCAGGCAGGGTTAGTGCCTGTGCCCTTGGGTCAACCGGCAGCTCTGCCACAAGCTTGAGCTCCTTGGGCTTAGGTGGGCAAGGGGTTGAGCAGGCTGTGAGTGCCTGCCCCATTCCCACACAAAGGGCTGAGCTTGGCAGGGGGCTGCACCCCAGCAGTAATGGAAGAGCAGGGCAGCTGGTGTCCCCCTCATCCCAATGTGCCCCCCACTTCAACCACCATCCACAGAGATGTGCCACTCTGGGCTGGACACCAAGTGACTGCTCCCTCAGGTACCTCTGTACCTTGTGCTATGCTTTTATTCTCTCCCAAGCAGCACTTTGACAAGTCTCAGCATTCCCTGGACCCAGCCTGAACGCCCCCCTCCCTCAGATGCTCAGAGCAGGACAGCCCAGTCCTGTGCAGAACCAGGCACAGCCTTGCAGGAATGGTTACAGCTGCTGGTGGGAAAGCAGCACAGCTCTGCATGGCTGCAGACTCACTGCAAGAGGCCAGCAGGACAAATCCCCTCTGCCCAACCAGGCTCTAGGCTCAGGGCTTTGTTTGTAAGGAGGGGTTCTGTGCTATTGCTATCCAGGAGGGGATCCCCAGCAACACAGCTGGAAGAAAGGAGGCATTCCTACCCCAGCAGCATTTAAACAGGGCCCTGTTTAAGTTTAGGGCAGCAGGAAGGGAGCTGCAACCATCCCATGTGAGTGACGCTGCCATTCAAGTCACTGCCAAGGTTACTTATGATATTAAACCAGAAAGGAAATGCAGCTCCATTCAGTCTCAGAGAGGTCTTGTGCCCCAGACGAGCAGGGCAAGGCCCAACGTGCTCTTGTACATGCAAACAGCAGGGAGGTACCTGAGGGTGTGGGGAGCAGGGAAGGGGCTGCTTTCACACTGCTGGGAGGCTGCACATTCAGCTGTGCCATGCCCAGGCAAGAGACAATCCCAGCCACATTTGCTCTTTGCTGAGGGGCTGGCACAGCCCTCCTCAGAGCATGGAATCCAGCCCCCCACTGCAGAAGCCAGCTACATTCCAGCTGTATGTCTGAACGTGCAGAGACATCCCCACACAGCTCTGCCCTCGCCCCACAGTCCCAGCAGTATTGGGACACGGCCATGGCAACTGCAGGTAAGTGCAGACCCTGGGCTGCTGCTTGCTTTGGTCAGCGTGTACCCAGCTCCATCCTGTGCACTCTTCACCTCCCCAGGAGCATCAGCAATTCGCTGCACTAATTTTATATATGTACTAGGGCTGAAGTGTCAGTGTATATTTGGTTGCTTACAGCTCCCAGGGAGATGAGCTGTCCTTGGCAAGGGGCTCTTGGTACCGGTGTCCAGGACAGAACCCCACGACATCCATGTGGGAGGCCAGAGCCGCTCCTCGGGTCACAAGCAGGATGCTGTGTCTGCTGGCACACCCCGCCTCACCTGCCTACGACATGGTGCAGTTGGATGGCTTTGAACCGTGTGCCTGGAACAGAAAGGAGCACACAGTAAGCAAGGGCAAGCAGGCTTCTTCCTCCCTCCTACAACAGAGCACATCTAGTGCTCAGATTCCCAGAGATGAGTGCTCAGCAGTGATGCTGCCACTGCCCCAGGCTGGGCTGCCCTCCTTCTGAAGAAACGCAGGCTACATAGAGCCCAGAGTAAGCAGAACCCAGGGAGGTTCTGCTCCCTCAAACAGGCCCCCTCCCTCAAACAGCTAGGCCAGGATCAACCCCACAGCAGCTCAGAGCCCACAGCCAGCCTCACTCACCTGCCGCTGCGACTGCTGGTACTCGGCTTCGCTCGCTGACAGTGCCTGGGCCAGTGCCAGATCCTCCTCCTCCTGTGTGCTGCTGGGACAGTGGTGCGGTGTGTGCCTCAGCCTCCCTCGGGCTCATGGGCTGAGTGCTCAGAGCCCTTCTGGGTTTCAGCACCTCACTGCAACCCCTCAGCATATCTTAAGGCAAGGAGCAACTGAGGATAACTTTGAACAGGCATGGGGCTGGGGAGGGAGCAGAGGATCCAGCTGGGGCTGGAAGCCAGAAGTCTGGGCCAAGGAGAGCCATGTGAAGTCCAATCAGTAAGATGGTGCTTTTAGCAACACTGGGCACTGTGCCTGGGGACATAAGCTCCTGGGTGTCCTCCAGGAACACCCCTACTCCACCTATCACACTCCAGCCAAACCCATTAGCTGACAAGTGGTCAGACAATGGTTTGCCCTACTCTGTGTGTCAGTCACTGTCCCCTACCAGCACCCCTAGGGCTGAGGGCTTGCTTGCTGAACAGTTCCCTGTTGGCTCTGGACTCTTCCTTTTTCCCCCTGTCAGCCACAGAGGCATCATATGGAAACACGTGATGAGAGGAATGTTATCCCAGAGCCACATGACGCTTCCCCAGGCCCCTCTCACACACAGGGGAGTGCACACCACACCACACCACGTGTTTTGGGGCTGTACCTGGGTTGCTGTGCTGAGCTGCGTGCCGACTCTGCCAGGGACATCTCCAGAGCTCGCTGCAGTGCCTCTTCCTCGCTCTGAAACAAAACATCTTGTCACCAGCTTGGCCAGGGTAGGGGGCAGGAAGCACATGTGGTAGGTACAGTCTTTCCTGGCCAAGGCTGGGCAAATCTTCTCTCTCCAGGAGACCAGACACAGCCAAGGTGAAAAACTGGGGCTGTGGACAGAGAGCAATGCTCTCCCCCTGCCCAAGGGGACACATCCCTGCTTGCTAATGCAGGAGTATGCCAAGAATACCAGTGGAAAACAGCTTCCAGTCTCTTTCAGCCTTTGCTTGTGCTGCAGAAAGACAACACCCAAGGAAAATGGCTGGTGCACTTTGTCCCTTTGGGGAAAGCTAAGCAACAAGTGCAGCAGAGAGCTGTCATCTGCAGGCACCAGAGCAAGCTCTGATTTCCCTCAGAGCATTTAGGATCACTGTCTGCCAGGGAAGACACAGCTGGGAGCACAGTCACCTGAGTCACCTAGTCACAGAGTGTGAGCTAGAAAGCATTTGTTGCAGTCACTTCTTAGAGGGCACAGAAACCACCCCAAATGGCCAGGCCAAGCCACTCACCAGCCCATTCTGCAGCATGACAGCTGGAGGGGAGGTGCTGCGAGTCTGCGACGCAGCTGCTCTGCCTCCCCTGCAAGCAGAAGAAAAGCTGTGTTATTGTCAAGGCAGGGAGCTCTAGTATGATTATCAGTCCTGCTGAGGCACAAGAAGAAGGGAGCTGTCACTCTGGCATTCCACAGAGAGCCAAGATGAGCCTGGTCATGCCCACCTCAGAATTACAAGTGAGGCCATCACCTTACCTGGCACAGGCCAGGGAAGAGGAGCTGTCTGCTGGCCGGGCAGCTCCGCTGCTTGATGCGGTGACTATTTTGGAGGAAGATGCCTGGGCTCTGGTAACTGCAGCATGCCTAGGACAGACAGGACACCTGTGAGAAACTGTTTACCATCATGAGCAATTCCCAGGCATATTGGGATATCAAGCTGGATAAGCAAGATGCCTCCCTGTCTCCTCCTCCTCCCATGTTGCGGCTGTTATTCCCAGGAGTTTCTAGTGCTGTTTCTCTCCGTAAAACCCTGTACCAGGACAGGCAGAAACCACTGGCTACAGAATAAGGGGTTGGGGAAAGAAGCAAGAGCAAAGCAGCCAGCAGGCAGTATTGACAGTTTTTGCTGCAGGAAAGACCGTGTATACTGGTGTGCTTGGTGCTGCAGGACACCCTGGCACACAGGGCAGGGAGTGTCAGAATGCAGCAGACCCAGACAATGGGATTCTTCCCTATCACCAATCTGGCAAACACAGCCCCACCCCTCCCAGGCTGTCTGTTCTCAGGCCCTCACCCTGCTTTGGAAAGGGGATGTCCTGCCCCACTGCAGTCATGGTCCAGGGGGTGCCGATGCTTGAGGCAGTAGTTCTTGTGGCACTGGTCACAGATCACCTTCATCATCTCCTTCTGCTTGCAGCCAGGCTTCAAACACTTGTTGGTGAAGATCTGAAAGATGACATGGCAGTGCTGAAAAGGAGCACATGCTGTGGGCTGTCCCCTCTCTCCATGGCAGGCCCTGGGCACTGACCAGCCTTCCCCACCAGTGTTCTTCTGCAAGGCTCTGAAATTTGTCTCCAAATACTTTCTTTAGATGTCTCTGAATAATTTCTTTAGATAGCTTATTAGTAATTCACTGGTGCCTCAGTCTCCATAAACAAGAGTCCCCATAGCCACAGAATGCACAGCAGGAGAAAGAGTGCCTTGCCCAGGGACTCCTGCCTTCCATACCAGCGCAGTGGGGATAGCCCAGGGCATTCCAGCTGCTGCTGGGCTGGACTCTTCTAGGGTCAGCTCCCTGCAGCAATTTCATCTCCTGGCAAGATGGGGTAGCTAATTGCCAATTGCATTTTCCTAATAGCAGCATGCAGTTTACCATCCTTATGTCCCAGGTGGCTGCCCAGCCCCACTCCATCACCGCCCTGCTCCCCTGAAACCCTCCACAAAGCCCTGCGGATGCCTCCAGCTCACCAACCCTCCCTGGATCAGCCTGTGCCAGAGATAGCACCAGGCAGGGCTGAATCTGTGTTGTTTTCATCCCATTGCCAGGCTCTGGCAGAGCCCCGCAGTACACACCTTGCGCTTGCGCTGTGCGGGGTCAGACTTGCAGTCACGGTCAATGTGCTCACCCACCACAACATCAGGCATCTCCCCCCGCCTCACAGGGACTGGCGTGTTGCAGAGGGGACACACTGGGACCTGCACATCCTGCAGAGACAACAACAGGGAGCTGGGCAACCTTGAGCACTGCACAGTCATCCCTCTCCCTTTCAGGATCTGCCTACCATGGCTTCCACAGCTTCAGCTGCAGTTTGAGATCCTGCTCATGACCCTCCAACCAGCTTGCACAGCAGGTGCAGAGGCACAGACATACACTCTGGGAAGGGAAGATGGTGTGGCTGGGAAATGCCCAAACCACTTCACCCAGTGGGAGAGGGAGGGCTGGATGTTTGTGGCACTAAGATGCAGATCCTGGCTTTGAGGTACATCTTCAGACTCAGTGTACATCTCAAAGGGGACAGCTCAAGCGACCAAAGTCACTACAGATTATTATGATTGGTGGATAGAAAAGCTCAGCAGCTCCATGCAGGAGGGTGGATGAGATCTGCTCCCTGCACTTACCTTCTTGTAGGCAGAGGTGCAATCGTGCTGGGCGTAAGTGATGTGGTCGGTGCAGAAGATCTGCTCGCAGGCATCGCATTTGAGAGGAAGGAAGTCTAGGAGCAGGACATGGCATGGAGATCAGCACTGCCCACCCGCAGCCCAGGGGCCTCCCCGACTTCACAAAGGCAAAACAGTGACCCGCGGCAAAGCCAGGGCCGCACCTCTCATCCCCCGGCATGAAAACAAAAGGGCTGCAGGTCCATAGCCACGTCTTCAGAAATACCCAGGGCTCCTCCTCAAAACGTGCGGTCCCCGAGATCAGGAGTAGCATCCTGAATGACACCAAGCTTCCCGCGGGCGGCCTCAAACCGGTGGGAAGTGATGCTGACAGTCGCTACGGGCTTCGCCCACCGGGATAACCGGGCTACGGACGGGTCCCAGCGGCCCCGCCGCGTGCGGCCTCCCCAGCCTGCAGCATCCAGGCACGGCAGGCGGGTGCCTGTCCGGGCCCTGCCCCGCTATCCCCGGGCAAGAGCCGCTGCCCACCCGGTAGAGCCGCGTACCCGGACAGAGCCACCCGGTCTACCGGCAGCGACAGCCAGCCCCGCCCTAGCGGGGTGCCCGCGGGCAGCAGGAATGATCAGGGACCCCTCTGCCATGGGCAGCACGGGCGACACGTCCCGCCCTTCAAGCCCCGCTACCGAGCGGCGCCCGGCGCCGCCCCGCCGCCTCCCCGCAGGCCGGGCTGCCCGCTCCGTGCCGCCCAGGCCCAAGACCGCGGCCGTCTCGCCGGCGTGCGAGCCGTGCCCACCCCCCGGGGTCCCCCGGCGCTCACCCAGGCGCTGGCAGGCGGGCCAGGAGCAGTGCGCGCCCAGGTCCGGGAACTCCATGGCGGCACTGCCGCCACCGGCACCGGCGGCCCCGCCGCGCCCGCTTCCGGCGGGGCGTCACAGGGCGGGAGCAGGCACAGCCCCGCCCCGGCGGGCCCGCCCCGCCCCGCGGCCCCGCACCCCTCCGCGTGCCCTTCCGCCGGGAGCGCCGCTGGCACCCGTGGGAAGATGAGCTCCAGAGACCTGCCCGGCGCCGGGGGAAGGCTCTGGGCAAGGCGGAGTCCACGAGGGCCATCGCCAGAACCATCCTGCCCTGCCAGGCCGGCAAGAAGTGTCTGCTGCCATGGGACAGCTTGAACTTTTTTCCCTCCATCCTTCCTCCCCTGCCCCAAGGGAAACAAACCACGGATCCTGCCGTGTAACAAAGCTCCTGGCTCTATTCCAGTCACCTCGGAGTCTCCAGGTACCATGCTACAGCGCCCAGCAGAGCACAGATGGGGTGCTAGAAGGGTCAGTGGTGAGGAAGGCAAGAGATGCCACGGCAGCAAAAAACTGGAGTACTGAATAGGGCCAGGAGTGAATTTCATTGACTGCAAAAAAATCAACTCCACAGCCACCCAGTAACAGAACTGAAATGAGACAGGGGAAAAAAGCAGGTATTGCCCAACACCCTGTTCCAGCAGTGACACAAAAGACAGTAACAGTCTGCAGAAGAGGTCTCTTTGCACAACACCAGTCTGCCCTTGCCCCCTTACTGCCACCCTCTGCTCCAAAGACCGCTTTCCCTTTGCTTGCCCCTGAGAGCCACATTTGACTGTGCACCCCCCCATCCCTCCCCCCAGACAAAACCAATGAAAGTTAAAATTATTTACACTTTTAGCCATTTAAAAACCCAATAAAATAAGATTGCATATGTCCTACTGGGGATGTGGGTATTAGCAGCAGCTACAGCTAGCTCGGTACTCAGCGTGCAAAACAAAAGACAAACAGAAGACAGACCGAAATACTGCACCATTACTAGGAAGCGTTTGCTGGGGTTGGTGTTTCAATTGTGGCATAAGGCTTCTAGGAGCCGGCTCCTCCCCAGCTGCAGGGCCTCCTGCTCAGCCAGTGAAGGCCAGGCTCTAGAAGGATGGAAAGGTTTCATTATTCCAGACACAGCACATTAACACTGATGCGTTTCCATCCCAGTCAACACAAACATCTAAAAACCCACTGCACGTTCACTGTGTGAGTTTTTCCTTCTTTCCAGTGATGATGGAGGAAAAGGGGGAGCACAGGTAAGACCTAAGACATAGATGTTGCTGTCATCACTGCCTCCTCCTCATCTCCTTGCTTTGGCAGCTCAGCAAGCATGGGAGAGGAGGGAGATGGAGCAGCCTCTTGTGCCTCCTGCTCCTCTCCAAACCCCAGCTCTACATCCATTTGCTCCAGCTCCCCCTGATCCAGTAGCTCAAAGTCATCTGCTTCCTCCTCATCCTCCGGTGAAGCTTCTGTCTCTGTCTCCACCACTTCGCTCTCTGACAGGTGTGCTTGGAAGCTCAGTTTCTCTTCAGGCTCTGTGGGGAGGAACTCAGAGAGGGGGGGTCCCTCACTGGCCTCTGAGGACCGCAGGAGGGCAGAGAGGGTATTCTGCACAGCTGTGGTGATGGCAGTGGTGACGATCTCCTCGCTCAGCGTGTTAATGCAGATGCCCAGGCCTGGGGCAGGGACAGTCTTTGGCTCTGCATTGCCTCCTGCCACTTGCCCACTCCCATTGAAGTGCGTATTTACAAAATGGAGAGGAGACGCGAGGCGAAGGATGGAGAGGTCAGAGTCCGTGGCCTCTTTGTCTGCTGAGTCCAGCTCACAGGCAGCGTGGGCAAGCTCAGGACCCAGAGGCACACCAAACGCGTCTTCATCACTCTGTGGCCCCAGGTCTCTGGAATGATATTCTTCCACAGATGGAAACTCTGCCAGGTCCTTGGAAAATGATTCCTCTGGCTCACTGTGCAGGCTCTGCTGATCCAGGTCTGAAAGGCACCAGCATTAAGGTACATGTTCCTTCACCTTGACCTCCCACCCACCTTCTCCAGCTGACACACCACAGCTGACTTTAGGGTACCTTCCCCATCCTTGGAGGACAGGAAGAAGTCTGTGGTTATTCCCTTCTGCCAGTGGCATGATTCATGTGTAATGTTTCTTTTGTGATCCTGTTCTATATGCTCTGTGCTGAGAGAGGACTTCCTGCTCCAGCTCACACTTTCTGCATTTAGAGCTGCCCATTAAAACTCCCAAGGTCAGGGAAATTGTGCTTGCATCACCTGCCCACTCCTTCCTAGACACCCAAGTGGCCACTGAGTGGTTACCTCCATGTTCTTCACCACTAACCAGTCCTTCTCTGAGCTAGTAAGTCTGACCTGTTTCACCCAGTATCATATATTGGTGTGTGACTATTCTATTCAGTTATTTCTGTGGGACTTTGTGGGTGGCCTTGCTCCCTTGCTGGAGTCACAAGACTGTATTACTTTGTGGGGCAATAATTAGAGGCTGATGTTTACTCAGAACCCAGCTTATGATCAGCCATGAAGTCAGGGCATGCTTGCACTGCTTTTCCTTCCTCCTTTCAATGCTCTTTCTATGCAAATACCTGGGTTCTCTCCCTGTCCTCCCATTTGTATGACCCACTGTTCTGGGCCAAAACACTGAGGATAAGGGGGCAGCAAAGTGTCCCATTATGTACCTTCAGAAACGTCCGTCAGCTGTGGGGTGGTAGCCCTTGAAACAGAAAAGCCCCCACTCTCCAGGATAGAAGCCTCCTCATCAGAGAGCTCAGAATCTGTGATTGACAGTGCCAGGGCAGTTTTCTTCACATCCACCTGCATGGGATGAAGGCAGAGAGACAAATTCCTGTGTGTCTAAGTACCTACACTGCCTATGGGTACCTCCAGACCTTCCAGGCAGAAGTCCTTGCTGGAGGGACAGTATGCTGCTGGCAAAGTGCTCCCTGCACTGGAAGGCAGTCTCAACTCACTGGCTTTCCTGCAATAAATCACTGCCTGAAGGTTTGCCTGCTCTCAGTGAAGAACACAAAAGAGGCAGCACAAGATGGGATGAGACTGTAGGAGTCTCAGAAGGCTTTGATCCTTCTTCTCCTGGGATCACCAAGGAAAACACCCCTTCCCTTTTGCATTCACACAGAGCGCAACAAAGCCTTCTACAAGTAGCAGTGGTTCAAGTATCCACATTCCTTTGGAAACAAGCTTCCCACCTCACAGCCCAGATACATGCCAGGAGCTTCTGCTTGGTTTTTTAATGTGGCGCAAATATAGGTCACACACTATCTCTCTGAAAGCAGAGAACTGTGTAAGAGACACTAAAGCTGCTCAACTCCCTTTTCCTGTTTTGAGGAGCCCCTGCACATTACAGCAGGGAAGTTAATTTCTTCAGGAGACACTTACATTCTCTGAGCATGAAGTATAACCATCAAAGTAATTCTGAGGTCAGCACAAGGCTGGGGCATGGCTGGCCCTGCCCTACTGCAGCATCATCAGCTCTGTGGCACCAAATTCTCAATACCCAGACTGGAGATGATGGCCTTCATCAAACACATGACCTTTTCCTCTTAGAATTCTGCAAAGAAGTGATTTATTGCTCTGCCGTGTGTTGTCATTGTTGCTGTACTCAGACCACCCCTTGACTCTCAAGCTGCTCTCAAGCTCAAGACCAGAGAGGAGGGATTGGTTCCTGCTAAGCTCTTTGAGCTCTTACCACTGGGGAGAAGCCTGACAGCTCTGCTTCGCTCTCACTCTCCGTCTCTGCTGTTGGTTCATCACCTGCTGCAGGCTCGCTCTTCCCCTGTCGTTCTATGAGAAAGAGAAGAAAGGCTTTACATGACACTGAAGGAATTTTCTGCCTTTATACACCACTATCCCCTCTGTGAAAGTGCACAGGGCTCCTGGAGACAAGCATAATCTGTTGCTCTCATGTGCTGTTCTCAGGATCACCTGGAAGCACACAGTTGCTCTCCACATAACCCTTAAAGTTAGCCCTTAAGTTTCCACCTCTCTTCCCATGCTCCCCTGCAGCCTGTCACCACAGAGTGTTGGCAGACATGGTCTCCTATTGTCCTTCTGCTATGGCTCCACCCTAGGAATACAACACCAAAAAAAGATAGGGAGAAGGTGGTTCCTTACTCTTCTTCTCATGCTTGTGGTGCAGCGTCTCTGCCTTCATACTGTAGTCGAGTTTCATCAGGACAGGCTCCAAACGTGTGTACATCCTCTGGATCAGCTCATGGTAGACCACCAGAGGCCACAGCAGAATGCTGAGCACTGTGGACATGGAATGCAGGGAGTGAGAGACAGATCAAGCACAACCTGACTCTTCTGTAGAGCCACTGAGAAAGTCTTCAAGGGAAACACATTTCAGTGGCATGTTCTTTCCCATCTGAATGCCTAAAAATCCTCATCCATGGCTCTTCTTACTCATTGCAAAGTTGCTTGATTAACCAGGTTTTACTGCCAGATCTTAGAGAGAATATAGATATATGTTAAGATGAAGCATAAGCCCTTCCCTTCAGCCACTGCACCGCAGACCCAACATGCAAAAGAAGCCCTAAAATGAGCTTAGATGAGAATTCAAACTAGGTATTACCAAAATTTTTATATGGGTAGCTGCATCGAGCTCATGTGTAGATGCACTCGCAGCAGAGCACCAGAACAGAGTTATTAGGGACTCATGATACAGTAAAAAAGGTCTATTTACCCAAATGCAGCTTTGTTTACAACACTTTCAATATGGATTTGCCCACCTTAGGAACTGAGACTGTAATTTCCTGCTTCCCCGGAGCCTCGGCCAACACAGCCTCAGCAGCGGGGAACAGAGGGCACCAATGTTTTAGTCACGGCTCCCTCTCCTGCCTTTGCAGTCGTACTGCATGCACGTGTTTACAGAGACTTCCTGGAACACATTTCCCTGTAAATTGATTCATCATCTAGCAGAGATCCCCTCGAGAAAACTACAAATCTGCTTTTACCAGCCTATCAACAGCACAGTTAGATCATGTCTCAGCTTAAGTCAGACAAGAGCGCTGCTTATACTCACAAATGATGTAGGAGATCATTATGCCTGGAACATAGTGTCCAACTACAGCCAGAATCAGGCAGCCTGAACAGACACTCATGCAGAACTGAAGGAAGAGAGAGGAACAAACAGAAGTGACAAGAGGTAGAGATACATCTATGCAACCCATGCCAGAAACCCATTTAGTGCAACATGAGGGATGGCCCTAACCAAGTCAGTCAGCCAGCTCTGCACCGAGTACATTCAGGTGCTGACAGTCAGAACTCGGACAGCTCGGTTGGGTTAAGTTGTAAGCATTAGAGGTTCAAGTGTTGGATGACCAAGGTAACCCAACGCCCCAATAAAACAAACCAAA